TTGAAACGATTAACAATAAGAAAGTCAATATATATTTTTGTATGAGAAATAGAACTTGAAATATTTAGATTACTCATGAGGTCTGATACAATAATAATGTAATATAATTCTGTATTGATACTTTTCTTAAATTGAACTGTCACATCAATATTATTATCATCATAATCATTACGAGCAATGTGGCAAGGTTGTTTTTTTTCTTCTTTCCTATTAGCTGTTCACATAATATACATGCAAGATTACAGTTGCCTCTAAAAAGTTTAGATATGTTTGTAAATTTTTGCTACGAACTTGGAAGTATGCCTCAGAGGAAATTAGTATTTCTTGATCAATTTCTAGTGCTCTTTCGAATGATATAATTTTTACTGGAGCAGGATGATATTGAAAATTTCGAACTGCTTAGTTAATGTGAACTGAAATAATACTCTATTCTAGTCTGACTCTACTTTAGAAGATCATAGCATAAGCATAATACAATAGAGAATACTATGAAACAAAAAGATCTCTTGATCCCATCGATGGATGTTTTCGTCATTTCATTTTTTATCAATTGAATCACATGATTAATAGAAGTAAGTTTTTGAAGAGAGGACGATTAATAGATTCTCATTAAAACTCTCGGTGTGAACCCGAGATGATCTTTACACGATAATTTGAAAAAGACGTATATCTTAAGAAAGAAAATGTTTTCTTTTTATTTCAACATTTTAAATAAATTCATTCATTATGAATATTTGTATCAAAAGACGAAGATTATCGATTTCAATTCTTTATTATCTCTAATATTAATTGTTAACTTTAATAACATTTAATCAAAATATTGAAGATATTCTCTACTCAAGTTTATTTCAACGAAACATATTATTTAACTTTGAAACTAAAGAATTCTGTTAGAAAAGTAAAATTTTGATTGATGATTCGAAAATGAAATCTATCATTTCTCCAATTTTGATTATAACGATAGTTTTCTAACATCATAAGATACTTCACGAACTCATTATCAACTTCTATCAATACTAGAAGTAATCAGTATTAATTAACTTCCCTGAAACTAATAGATTAGATTTGATGAGTATTTATTTCCATTGCGTAAGATGATCTTTTCAGAATAAATAAATTTTAATTGGTTCAATTTATATAAGTCTGTTCATATAAAACTTTTGCATCAACGCATGTCAAACCATACTTGAACAGACATGAGTAAAAATTGGAATAAATTATTATTGATCCTAATGATTAATGGATAAACTACATACACTTTTCAATATAGCGTGTGAAAGTAGCTTATCTTGGCCACATGGGTTCTGTTTAAATTCAATAGGTTGGTGAAATATTTATTAAGTTTCGAAAAAGTTCTACAACTTAAACGTTTTTCTAACAACAATCTCATAACTCTATCATTTTTAATGAAGAAGTCATCTTCGTTTGAGATTCATGAATAGAACTATCGCTTCTAGGGTACTGTAAAATCATCTCATACATCGAAAAGAATTCTATTCATTAATAAGATAATTCTTATTTGCAATATGTACTTTTACATTACAGCTCGTTTTTGGGATCTTATTCTATTTATAAGAATGCAGATCAGGATAATTGCAGACTATTCTTAAAAAACAAAACAGAACAGAAATGAACATATCTATTGTAATATTAATCTTTACATATTCAGTTAGAAGCTGAGCAGCTTACACGGTTGAATTTCACCATCTTCTTACATAAAACTACAAACTTCCAACTATGTTAAATTTCGATTGAATTGTTATTATTTTCACATAGTTTACAAAGTCCCACAATGTTTATTTGTTAAATTTCATTAATTCGATTTAAAAAAAAAATAATAGTTTCGTCCTGTTTCTCAGTAACATTAGTTAATCATACAGGATTCAAAGATTAAAACACTTATAAGGACAGACTGAATGGTTCTTGTCAGACGTTAACAGATCATAAAAGATCTAAAACAAAGAAACATACATCGTACATAATGTAGATCTTGCCTGTTATTATCTGTTTGTGTATAGTGTGTTCTGTTCTTTCATTTGTTCGAGAATAGTTAACTCCATCCGCTTTCCTATGAAGAATAGCACCTGAAAAACAGGAACAAGCAGTGTACCTAATTTTTTTTATTCTTTTTCTATACGAATAGTATACAAAACGGTTACTGCTATTTCTTATTTTTCTGTGGTGACAAAATAGTAAATTCTATTTATTTTTTATTTTTCTATATTGATGATATAGAAACAGTTATTTTTGTCCTATTTGTCTATAGTAATAATATAGAAAATGCTGATTTTCGTTTGTTATTTTTTTACATTCGTGATATGGAGAATCTTATTTTTCTACATTGGTAATAAAGATAACAGTTTGTTTTATTCTCTATTTTTTGTATATTGTTGACATAGAAAATTGTATTTTAAAATTTTTCTATTATTATCAATATAGAAAAATAAGAATTAAAAATAAGATTTTCTATATTATTAATATAAAAAATGAGAAATAAAAATAGGTTTTTCTATATTATTAATATAGAAGAATAAAAAATGACAATTAAGATTTTCTTTATTATTGCTATAGAAAAATAAAAAATAAAAAAATTGAGATTTTCTATATTATCAATTTAAAAAATGAAAAACAATAAATAAGATTTTCTAAACTACCAATTTAGAAAAACAAGAAATGAAAATTTAGATTCGTATATTATTGATAAAGAAAAATAAGAAATAAAACCAACTGTTATCTATATTACCAACATAGAAAAATTAAATTTAAAACTAATCATTATTTATATTATCAATATAGAAAATAAGAATTAACAAATATAACTTGCTACATTATTAATATAGAAAAATGAGAGGTAAAAATGGGATTCTCTATATTGCCAAAATACAACAACAAGAAATAAACATGGAAATTTCCATACTACAGTATGGAAAAATGACAAATAATGAATAGGATTTTATATAATATCAAATATAGAACAAATGTTGACTGTACTTGTTCTAAAATAAGACTGAAGTTTATGTGCAAAAAAACCAAGCAAGGTAGCCGATCAGACTGATCATTTCCATGTGTATAAGAGATATTTGAGAAGTTTGATTTAATTGAAATAAATCTATAGTATTAATAAGCATTTCATACAGCTCTATGTCATCATCTATAAGTAGAAAATAAAATTATCTACTCGAATTTTATGTCTCACAATATCTTTGATTTAAAAAGCAGAAAGTATTGTTTTGATTCTGACTCTCATCTTCGAGTTGTTTGACACATAATCATAGTTTTCATACCAGTTTACGCGTATTTGTTTTTTGTCGATGGAAGAAAAGAAATAACACTAAAATGTACTTTCTTCCAATTGCACTGAGACATTAAACATATTAAAATACATGACCTTACATGTAATAAAAATGAAAATTGATTAAATAGCATTAAATTTAATCAAGATTTCAATTATAGCTAGATTCTTCATAGATAAATTAAGAAGGATGAAATTATTTAAATTATTTTTAGGGAGCTTATAAAACTGCATGACATTTTTTATTAACTTCATCGATTCCGTAACTGACCATACAAGATATAATCATAGAAGTATTGTTTCTAATTTAAAGCTCAAATCAGTATCAATATAAATCTTTAGAAAATTCTAGGCAAACAGAACAAAGCTTTCTTCTAAGATTTAACCAGTTCAGAATGCGATACGATAACAATTTGAAAAAGAAATCTTCACACTTATTACTATTGAGAATAGCTAAAATCATGATGAAATCTTTTACGATCGTTGCTTTTTTGTAAGAATCCCCAAAAATTTACACCTATTGAATAACCTACAAAACACTAACTTGCAAAGATTTTAGATCAAGATTTTCATAGGAGATTCGTATTGTCTTGTAAAGAAGTGAAAATACTTAATTGTAGAAAGTTCGAAATCGATCCTTGATCGAAACTACTATTGTTTAAAAAACCGTGTTCCATACCCTATTAAGTTGAAAATTTGTAATACATTAGAAATGAATTCAAAATAAAAGATTTGATTGATTCCTATATAGATTATTGTTTGTGCTACAATGCAGAATAATGAACATGACAGATTCTTCAAATATTCTTGAACTTGGGAAAGATTTGTTTTTGAGTTCTTTTCATCTACTAAAATTCGAACTTACGTATTATTTTATCTGAACTTATCTTATTTAGCACTTCGATTAGCCTTTTTACAAAGTACTTGTTTGTTTGGGATTCAGGAACAAATTATTCAATAGTAAGTATGATGCAAGATTAATGGCATAAAATATTTTCGAATGGTGTATGATTTATATTTGTCATGCATTCGTAAATGGAATAAGAAAGAAAAATACTTACACAAAAAATTTGCCATTTTTTATATGAATCAGTCAAAAACGTCTTATGCATGGTAGTTAAGTATAATTAACTATCGTTATTGTCTAGCGAGATGTTTTTAACGAATTCATATAAAAGTGGCAAATTTATTTTGTCTCATTTCACTCAGAAATGTGTGATGAACATAAATCATACACCGTTTCCTATCAACTGATAACAAAATTGTTTTTCCTTACGTTCAAATTCTATTATAACTCATTTTATTGTAAAATCCAAACAAAAAAAATGAAATGATTATTAAATTGATGACATGCAAAATCTAAATATATCTCAAAATCGAACTAACAAAATCAGTAAATATGTTGGAAACATTCGATATAAAAGAAAGTTTCATTCACGATAAAATCCGAGTTCATCGCACTTTTCACATTACCAGTTAAATTTTAGTTAGTTTTAGTCAAACTAAGGAATTTTACATAAAATATTTCAGAAAAATCAACAATGTTTTGTTTTCAACATTGAGAAAAACCAGATTCTAATCAAGTTCATAAGTAAAAAGCTTTTGTAATTGAGAGCAGTTCAATACTGTTTAAAACAAATAATAATGAGTCATTGCAATGAAATCGATGTTTATTTCTACTTCATACTTTTGTTCCATTTCAGTACCAATGCGTGCAAGTTCCATTGATATTCATCCGAATGCAAAATGGGAACAGAATGGTATCACTGTTGCTGGAGAAAATGGCAATGGCAGTGGAACCCATCAACTCTATGGTCCGTGGGGTTTGTACGTCGGTGATGATCAGATGATTTATGTCGCTGATTGGGGAAATCATCGTATTGTGGAATGGAAATCTGGTGCAACGAATGGAAAAGTAGTTGCTGGTGGAGATGGAAATGGAGCTCATCAGTTAAACTGTCCAATGGATGTGATTATCGACAAAGAGAGCAATAGTCTCATCATCTCCGATGTTAGGGGTAAAAGAGTAGTTCGATGGCCTCGTCGAAATGGTACTCGTGGAGAAACAATGATTTCGAATATCGCTTGCTTCGGTTTGACAATGGACGAAAATGGCTATCTCTATGTCGTTGACAATGAAGAATATGAAGTGAGACGATATAAAATTGGTGACACTAAAGAAACAGTAGTTGCAGGTGGTAATGGACAAGGAAATCGTCTCGATCAACTCTCCGAACCCCGCTACGTATTTGTCGATCGAGACCATTCAGTTTATGTGTCTGATTATTGGAATCATCGTGTAATGAAATGGGAAGAAGGTGCAAAACAAGGTATTGTCGTAGCCGGTGGCCAAGGAAAAGGAAATAGACTTACACAATTGAGTGGTCCTCAAGGAGTCGTTGTTGATCAATTGGGTACTGTCTATGTGGCTGATTACGCTAATCATCGAATCATGCGTTGGCCAAAAGGAGCCACACGAGGAAATGTCATTGTTGGTGGAAACGGTAAAGGAGCACAGTCGAATCGACTCAATTATCCCATGGGTTTATCATTTGATCGACATGGCAATCTCTATGTCGTCGATGCCGGAAATGATCGAGTACAAAAATTTAATATCGAATGAACTCAGTATACTCTAAAAAATTTCCATATTGTGGGAAACCGACCTGAAAGGGTTTCCGAACGCTCGGAAACCCAAATCCGTTTCCGACATTGACTCGGAAACCCTTTGAGGGTTTTCGAAGAAAAAAGATGGGTTTCCCAAAGCTCGGAAACCCTTAATAGGTTTCCGATAGTAACAAACTCGGAAACCGAAAAA